ATTTTCCTGCACTACTTATCTACTAATAAATATTTCAAACTACCTTCTACCCGCGGCTTCGCCTGCGTTCCCGTGGGATAAAAAGAAGCCTAGTATAACAATCATACAGACAAACACACACATTTTTACATTTTTAATATTAATTAAAGCACTTACCACAACTTCATCTTTGATTCCTACACACCGATTACATTTGTGTTCCATTATTATTAAGTATTTTAAAACAAAAATGACACAGGCGTCGTACAGGTGCGGGATCACAGTACAGAATGTTTTGAAATGAAACGAACGGAGTGGTGAGCGAGAGAGCGAGTGAATGAATGAGTACTGAGTGTAGTGTAGTGATGTGCTTACTCAGAATGAATGAAGCCCGAGTTGGAATTCGGGTAACTCAAATCGATTGAACGAATTGAGTGATTCGAGGGAACTGAATGAAATGAACCGAATTATTTATTCATTTATTTTGTTTTGACCATTTCAAAGGTCCGATTTTTCAATGAGCATAATATAATTTATTTATGTGCAGAACACACATAAACTTTACCACTACAAAAAGCGAATATATAAGGGGAAAGCGAAGGTAAATAGAAAAAATAAATACTAGGGCTCAAATTATTGTCTGTGGACCATAGACAAGGCTGTATAAAGTCTTGTCTATGATCCACAGACAAGAGTTGCCAATGTTATAATTAATAATTACTATTATCTGTGGATGTGTATGGAAGAATTGGGTAGTTTCCTAGCTCAAAAATAAATTATTTTGATTTTTCAGTACATTAAGTATTAAAAAATAACCGTACTTTCAATCATCGATTAGAGTGAATTAATGGTAATTTTAATGATCTATGTGAGCTATCGAAACAAAAATTTGATGTCGTCATAGGTTTTTTTAAGGGGGTAAAATCATCGAATGACTGCTCCCGCCTGAGTGAGGCGGCAGGGAGTGTCACATTCTTACTGACTAAAAACCACCCCAATCCTTCTCCTTCACGTAAAGCCGGAGTCCCGGTAACCCATTAGATTATCCGCGACGTGACGTCATATGTTGCATTCTCAATACTAAATTCATAGAAAAGTATCGTTGTTGACATTTCATGTTTCTAGTCATGAACTACCGGATTGTCGAAAACAGGTAACTCAAATCGATTGAACGAGTTGAGTGATTTGAGTCCTAATTCGATGAAAGTTTGGCGCTGTATTGTCGTTACGTTGTTCTCACATATATAACAATAGGTAAGGATCATATTTTATCTATTTAAGATAGTTTTGAAAAGTATAACGATGCAGTTTCTTGCTCGTCCTTCTCCATTCATAACTACACTTTGGAACGAGCGCCGAGCTTCACTGGCAATTCAATGTGACGTTTCAAAAGTGTATTTCAGAATTAATTAAAATAAATGCTTTGACTTTGACTTCATAAATTCTTTATTTATTTTGAATTTACCATTATCACTACTCACTACATAGTATAAAACAAAGGCGCTATCCGCCGCCTGTCTGTCCCTATGTATGCTTATGTATATGTCATATGTATCTTTAAAACTATGCAACGGATTTTGATGTGGTTTTTTTAATCGATAGAGTGGTTCAAGGAAGGTTTATACATGTTACCATGCATTTTGCACCCGTGCGAAACCTCGGCGGGTCGCTAGTACAATTATAAACCTTATTTATTTAAAAATATAGCATTATTGCATATCTTGGTAACAGTATGAAAACGCTTTGTGTTTTAAAATATTTATTTGTAGACTTTTACTAAAAAGACCGAGGTGAATTACACAATAAAACATGATTTATATACAGTACATATATATTTTTAAATAATGTTAAAATTTACTTAATAACTATTCACTTGAATACACCGTACAATAGTGAGAGATTATGACCTATTTTGGTTTTAATGTACGTCCGAGGACGTTGAAACAAAGGCGGACACAGTCTCAACAACAACAACAACAACTGTGGCACCTCACTACTATAGACTTACACGCAGAACATACACGATAAGCTGGTAAACTAACAGATGGATCGCTTGATGGTAAGCAATCGGCGTCTCCCATGAAAATCCGGAACACCAGAGCCGTTACAAGTGCGTTGCCGGCCATTTGAGGACTAGGAATTTGAAGATTGTTGGGGATTCGGGAATTGGGGAGATTGGGGAAGGGGGTGGGTGGTAATAGGCCTCCAGTAAACTTACTCACGCGATGAAACATAACGCAATCGTTGTATCACTCCGGTCGAGCCGGCCCATTCGTGCCTAAAAAATGCATGCGTGTCTAATATTTCTAAAAAATATTAGACACGTGTTGGAACAGTTAAACACGTGTTTTATATTTTTTCATTATCTTACTGACTGACTAAATATTTTTTTTTATTTTCATACCCCGTCATCATCCCTCACGCTCGAATACTGAAAGACTACTCAATTTTAAGTTGCACTTAAATATCATTTTAAGTTGTACTTAACAGAACTATAGTAAAGCGCGAGTTAAAATTGAGTGGCGTTTGAGTATTTGAGGTTTACATTCTACAACTCTTCGAGAGCCTTCCTTGACTCCAAAATCTCCCTTTTTAACTGAGCGTTTTTCAGCTTTAGTTTTTGTATTTCCATCTGAATTTTTTGTATCTTCATTTTCATTTGGTGTTCCTTTTCCATTATCTCCCTACGTCTTCTCTGCTCGTGGTAGAATTCTAGCATCATAAAGTTGTCGTTTGTCGGATTAAATATATAATTCTCATTCTCCTGTAAGAAAGAAACATAAAGTTAATTAATAGAGGTCATGCGGGCCCATTTGTTCATACAAAAGTTGTCTCTAAACATCGTAGATAAGGTCTATAATTGAGTAAATGGAGAGCGGTCACCGGTGACCACTTGGGGGCTCGGCAGTAGTTTATTTGTCAAGTCAAGAGCGTTAACGCGATTACATGTAGGAAATATTTTCAAAATGTCTTTTAACGACCGAAACAAATGAGCACCCTCAATTCAATATCCCTACACCGTGAAATTTGTCTATTACACCTTCAACTTTATTGTATTGACATAAAGTCGAAAATACAACGAATAAATTTGACAGGATGGAGCAGGTCGATCTACTGGCCACTGTACCTGCGACGCACGTGTTCATTCTCTGTCAAAAGAACTTACACCGGACAATAACAAACAGCGGCAAAAACGAATGGCGATATCGGTCAATTCTTTAGTGCTTCATGCGATGGCCAAGAGAAGTTGACAATAATTGTAATGTATTATATGTATACTTTATTTATTTATTACTCTATGCGAAAAGTGTCTTTGTCTGTATGTTTGTTATTCAATCGCATCAAAACGGCTGAAGGGATCGGGATGATATTTGGAACAGAGATAGATTATAGTCTGGAACAACACATAGGCTACTTCTTATCCCACGAGAACTCAGGCGATTCATATAATTATAAGTTTGAAAGCGCCAATCCGCATTGAGCAAGCGTGGTGATTAATGATCAAACCCTCTCCATGTCAGAAGAGGCCTTTGCTCAACAGTGCCACTTACAGGCTGTTGATGTAAATAGTAGATAGAACCCTAATAATAACCTAATGACCATTTAATGGTATTTTAACTCAATCCCTAGCAATTATTATCAGAACAAAATCGTTACTAAGGCATAGTTTATGTAATCATTTGAGTACGGCTGTATGACTGTGACAAAAATACCACGTGTTGTATCAAAGTCGTTTTTTGTGTGGCTGTAATACTTTAATTTGAAGACTACACAATAAATAACAAAGGAAATTAATAAATACGTCGATCTCAATACAAGATATTAGTTTTAAAATCCATTTTTGATATTCATAAATTCTATTTAATTTCTGTCAAAAAATTAGATCGTTTCGTAGACTCTTGATTGCAATTGGTCATTTGTATTTTTGGCCCTTACATAGTTGATCGCATTTGTAATATTAATTAAAACACTTACCTCAACTTCATCTTTGATTTCTACACACCGATCACATTTGTGTTCCATTATAAATAATAATGTTTTTAAAACAATGACAAAGTAATTGATAACTTTTTGGACACAACCAACGCGTCGTACAGGTGCGGGATCACAGTACAGAACAGAATGTTTTGAAATGAAACGAACGGAGTAGTGAGCGAGAGAGCGGGTGAGTGAATGATTACTGAGTATAGTGTAGTGATGTGCTAACTCAGAATGAATGGAACCCGAGTTGAAATTCGGGTAACTCAAATCGATTGAACGAATTGGGTGATTCGAGTGAACTGAATAAAATGTTATTTTGATCATTTTAGTGTCACATGTCCGATTTTTCAATTATCATATTACTTTTATTCGACGTCTGACATTATTTTGTTTGGAAGAATTGTGTCTTTCTTCATATTCAATTTCGCCAATTCTTCCAAACAAAATAATTTCCTAGGACTGCTAATGACCTAGGACTTTTCCTAGATCAAAGATAAATTATTTTGACGTATAAAGTATAAAAAAAATAATTATTATCGTACTATCAATCATTAATTTTTCGATATGCTTCATTTCTTTATTTTTCTAGTTAATTTTAATGAATGAGATGGGTAGGCAGAGGTTGCACATTTAGGTACTTAATGCCACTCTACAATGTAACACCCATTTTTCACTATTTATGTTATCAGTCCCATGTAATAGGCGGTGAGTCTATTGTCATATACCGGGCACATTTTCAGACTCTGTGCTGCCACTGAGATTTTTTTTTAAAACCCATTACTTAATTCTTGACCAAGGGTTCTCGCAAAACGGCAAACGCGACTGTCAGGCTCTTGCCCGGCGTTTCCGAGCGTGCGGCTAATGAGGCATAATAATATTAGTATAGTATGAAGTTTCTGTCAACAGGTGGCGCTAGTAACACTAGCACATAAATGTACTTTTATTTTAACTGACCTCAAAAAACGAAAAAGATTGATGTCTATTTTTGATGTAGTTTATTGAAAATTATAATTAAAATATGTGTTTTTTACCTCAAACAGGAGTGAAATCCACTACTGGCGTTGGCTAGGCATCCGTTGCGCTGGCTGGTGTGTGAACAGACCTCTTGAGAAACTATACTGGCGTGGAGTACTCAAGTCGCCCTACCTGGCTAACACTCTACTCGGAGAACCCGATGTAAGTCGCATTTTGAACCTTATTTTGTATTTAGTAAGTGTCACTTATGTACTATTAATACTGTCATAGGAGAATCTAATGTAAGTTGTATTTTAAATCTTATTTTGTATGTAGAAATTGTTAATTTCCAATGTACCGGATAAAATAGTAGTTACCTCTTTGAATACTGTTCGGGGGAAAACGATGCGAGTGGCATTTTGAACCTTAAGGTACTGTTACACATGATCTATAATAGCATGCTAAAAGGTTTATAGAGCATGGTAAAAAATGTTCAAAAATCGAACGGCTGTCGATTCGCAAACATGCGTGAAATGAGCGAATTTGGTACTTGCCTTAATCAATAATAAATTATTTCGACTGTTCAATACAATAAAATATTAAAAAATAATCAATGTTTACAGCATTTTTTAGATATAATTGTACTAACCTATGCTGTTTGACGCAAAAAAAAAACCATGACGTCACAATACACAATCTTGTACAAAATTCATAGAAAACTGTCGTTTTTGACAATTCGAAAAAAGTATTGAATTTGACTAGTTGGCAAGTACGCAATTTTGAGCAACATTTCGACGCACATGCTACTAATAATTGACAACTGCTCAATCGGGCCTACCGTATTTTTGCTCACTAAGTAGCACTAGTGTGAACCTCATATTCTTCGTCCAATAGGGAATTATCTAGCGTCACGCGATTGGACGTTGAATTTTTGACAGTTACTGTGTTAACGAATAGAGTTTCTTGCTTGTTCCGCTCCACTCGAATCAGCTCTTTGGAACGAGCACCTATCTTCACTGACGGACAGACTGGCAGACTATTATTTATTATTATTTGTTGACGTTTCAAAAGCACCAAATTATGGTTTAATTGAAATAAATGCCTTTGATTTTTTTAATGGACATAAAACTAGTAGTCTAGGTACAATTGCGCCATCTAGTGAATAAGAAACGTAAGCCCCCATTGAAGCATGCTGTCGTGCTTGAAATCAGCATTTGTAACAGTACATTATGCTGTTTGTAGTTAGACGCCACGGAGAGCGAGGCTCCGGTACTGCTGGACTAGCTCGACCGGAGTGATACCACGGCCTAACAGGAGCCGGCGTGAAACGATCCAAGCATTGTGTGCATTCGTGTGAGTGAGGGCAAAAGACGCCCAATTTCTCCCCTCCCTAAAACCCAGAACCCCCCCAAAAGGCTGGCAAAATACTTATAATAGGCTATTTACATGTATTTTTGTAATGTATCTAAAATAAATTCTATAATGTACCTCTAAAAAATTAAACATAATTTTTTTCTCGCGTTATGTACGAATATAAATTAATTATTTTGTAATAATTTCAAATTTCGCGGGTATATCGAGACGGCCGGAGCGTGAGGAGGTTCTTTCCCTCACGCGCTCCGCCTCCTTCTTAGCTAGCATATGTTTAGCACTCTGGATTGGTCGGTTCATTGGAGCCCATTAATCAGAGCGTCGACCGCGGTAATGTTTCGATAATGTAAAACGAAACTCGCACTATGCCTCAGGTGATCCGTCTGCTCGTTTGCCGGCCAATATAATAAAGAAATTGTATATTGCCGTATAGTATTTAAGTCGCATTATTTTATTTTTCGCGTGAATGAGGAAAATATTAGGCTTTAGTGTCCAATAGTCGTAACAATGTTTAAAGGTTAACGATAATAACTACAAATGGCCTTTAAAATTATTAGTTTGTATGTAAGTATCACGGCTATACATCGACCTATCATAACCAGTATAAACTGAACGTTAAATGTGCGGAAAGATGATGCGACGCGACACCAGGATAAACTGGTTTTGTATAGATTGATGTGTGGCCATGTGTACTATGACCGTTTTCGCCAACCACGCCTTAACCATGTCTTAACTAAATGACTATATTAGTTAAAAGGTTAATTAAAAGTTAGGACGGGTTGGTGAAAACGTTCATTAGATTTTTAGGTACAACTTGGCAATAAAGAACTTTCCTTACTCAAAAATATATTATTTCGACTGTCCAATACAATAAAATAGAAAACGTAATCCCACTTTCATTAATTGATTTTATGACCAACTTAATTTTAGTATTTTCCCAGCAGTTTTTTAAGAAATGAGTACGCTGTTTGACTTTAAAAAACGTGACGTCACAATACACAATCTCGTTCAAAATTCATAGACAACTGTCGTTTTTGACAGTTCGAAAAAGTATTGAATTTGACTCAAATGAGGTCGCAACCTGTAGCAACCTCGCTTACACTACGACTCAATCCGTTATGATATTTGTTATTTTATAGAGTTTAATTAAAATGACGAGGTACTATGTTCGGTCGGATGATTGTTTTTTCTTAGGACATGGTCCGAAGTGGGTGATTCAGTCCAAGTCAATATTAGTTCTAGCCATAGATATAATAAAGTTTACTTTTTACTTACTTTTTTAATAAGTCTGTGTTTCAAAACTGTCACCGCGATTCTTTTTTGCCAAGCTGTAAATGATTTTAATTTCCGATTTCGACCTATAGTAGGATGATCTCGACAGATAATAATTTAAATTTTAAAATATTTCAGGTGGAAGGAAAACGTACTGAAAAAGAACTTAGCAACGACCGCCCCGGTCCTCTGGTCGACAAACTACTCGAGCCGGAACGGAAATTGTCTTCAGGACAAAACTAAATTGATTATACACTATAATTAATTTAATTGCATAGGTTATTCTGCGATTTTTTACTCTAATTTGGATATATTTTAACCTTTAATTGCATAAAAGCCCATTTTCCCGCTTATTCTTTAAAAAAATATTTACAAATATTAAAGCGCATGTTGTTTCTGGACCTGGTAGTATCGACATTGGTAACGACTGAATCCGGTCGCTAAGTCGTTTTGATATTCACGACTTCGCGACTGTTTTTCATATCGATATTGGTAACGACAGAATTCAGTCGCTAAGTCGTGAAAGTCAACACGACTTAGCGACTGTTTTTCAATGTTATACTTTTGTGATAAAGTTAGAAATCTGATAAAGTATTTACGATTAATCTTCGATGACTTATCCTGTCGCCTGAATTTGGCTTACAAGTGACAACATTTATACATTTTAAACGTTACTATTGTATTCGTTAAAGTTTAAAATCGCAGAATTATCTTCTACATGTACAAATTAAAACCAAATTGATTAGTAGTTAATTTAAACTGTTTGAACCATTTGATAACTTATCTCTTAATAGATTTTCTTATTAGAGATACAATTTTGACACATTATGTATTAAATTTATTTATATAAAATCGTATCTGTAGGAAGTAAAGCTACATATAGATGGGTTATTGTAATGGTCGTTGACAGTTGACGCGCTTATATTTATTTATTTTAATTCGTAGAGGCGTTTACTCCGAAAAAATATTTTTATGTTTTTCTGGCTCGTGCAATTTTTTTTTTCGGTCTTTTAGCAGACTTACTCCACTTTTACAGATGTCGTATTTAGAACTGAATTAAAAATATTGGTTAGGTTCAGATATCGGTCAGGTGGTGCAGAAATGAACCTAACGTAGTCATTATATTAATTGAACAGATGATACGTCAAATAGGGTAGTATCCTAAATTTTATTTTAATGTCCGTCTGATACATTTATTTAATATTTTAGACACTTTCGACGATATCATCACCAACATCATCAGCCCGCATTGCATCACAGCGTGTCACATTTTGTAGCACGTTATGACGTAACGACTAACGACCTCTCACTCCTAAACTTAGACCCATTTTATCTAAGTATTGCAACTTAATACGAGAATATAAAAAAATACGTGTCTAATATTTTTTCATTATCTATCTGACGGACTAATTGGATTTTTCATTTTGAAACCCTGGAAATTACCCAATTATGATGTAAAAGTGTTGTAAGTCATTAAAAAATGCTAAATTGTTTGTTAGTACAAGCCTTGTTGGTTAGACTGCCTCGAGTGTTGCGGAATTTTAAACTATATTATTATTCGAATTACATCTGGTTTTGATGCACCGTTGTTGTCTAAGTCTTTGATTTTACGATAGTTCTTACTCGGTTTGGGATTGGATACCGGGGACCACCGTCCATTTCATTTGACTGAATATAAATGATGGAAAGTAGGTGTTTGTTACATTTAATTATAATGTATGTGTGCTTCATGCTTCATTATTTAAGTATGAAACAGTCATGCTTCGGCACGAATAGGCCGGCTCGACCTGAGTGACACCACGGCATCACATAAAACCGACGTGAAACAACGCTTGCATTGTGTTTCGCCGTGTTAGTCAGGTTACCGGAGGCCGAAATACCCTTGTTTACTGACTCATCTCATAAAAAAACAAAAGCTCCTCCTCCTCCTTTGGGGATTAAAAACTTGATTCCATTTTGATGTCACAAAATTCAGTCTAAATAAAGCTCAACCTTTTCAAAGAGATTTTTACCCTATAAAAAGGCTTGAGCTTCTGATGGGACATCTATGCAATCAGATTTTTTATACTGTGACCTAGTATCAAGTAATTCCAACAATAGTACAGTTGCCAGCAGATTAATCTACTCCCATCCATCAAATTCATTCATTGGATTTTCGACTTATGTCAATACAATCAAGTTGAAGATGTAATAGATAAATGTCCGTCTGGTGGATTATTTTGAATCATTAATGCCGGAATACTGAAACGTTACTCAATTTTAAATATTGTGCCATTTCTGTCATTTAACAAAGAGTTTGTAGCGACAGAACTATACTTAAGCGCGACTTAAAATTGAGTAACGTTTCAGTATTCCGACATATGACACGTATTTTTTATTTTCTTAAAGAAACTAATACTTTCGACGACATATTGATTTGAAATGTCGCGTGACGTCACTTCTATGCACATTTTATACGTAGAAATAACGTTTTAGCCCCACTCCTAAACTTTGATTCGTTTTATCTAAGTATTGTTTTATTATACGACAAAATAAAAAAAATACGTGTCTAATATTTTTTCATTACCTAACTTACGGACTAATTAGATTTTTCCGTCATCATCCCAATTATTTTAGCAACGGTGTGTCAAAAGAGTAACTAAATTGTTTATTTTTTATTTATATTTTTTTTCTATGTTACTTTTTTATTGGTTTCGTTAACACTCGGTGCAGTACTTAGCCGCTCTGCAGCTGTAGCCAAATGCCATTTAGCGCTTGTCTACTTGTAGAGTAGAAAACTAAATTATATGGAATTGACGTAAATTTTGACACTTGTCAGTGTCATCCCCATATATTTTGTTTTCTACTCTCTTTGTAGACAAGCGCTAAAGTGGCGTTTGGCTAAAGGTACTTTATTGGTACCTGTTATCCGACAATAAATGAATACTAAGCCAATACATTAAGTATGCGGGTAAGAAAATGAAGACTGATGTAATACAGAGACAGTAGCCATCGTTATACTATAATGAGTACTTTCAAAAATAAAATCACACTTTTATCACCAACTTAATTTTAGTATTTTTCCAATATTTTTTAAGAAATATATACTGTGTCTGGCACTAAAAAAAACGTGACGTCACAATACACAATTTCGTACAAAATTCATAGAAAGATGTCGTTTTTGACAGGTCGGAAAAAGTATTGAATTTAACTAGTTGGCAACATTAAACACCATGGGGGTCGCCAGTGATCCACCTTAGCGGGGGATTTGCCTTTAACAGTTTCTATTGGCAGTCGAACCTTAACGACGCTATATCTTGTCTGTCTATTACCCGGCTTAGTACCCAATCAATAGCTGCTACTATCTCTATACTGAATCATTTTTTATTTTCTTAATTGGCTTACTTAAAAACGCACGAACGTTGGGGGTGTTTAAAAATTTTTTACGTATTTACAAGGCTATGCATTTTGCTTTAGTATTGTCGGAATACTCGAACGCTACTCAATTTTAAGTCGTGCTTAAGTATAGTTCTGTCTCCACAAATTCTTTGTAAAATGACAGAGATGGCGCGATATTTAAGCACGACTTAAAATTGAGTAACGTTTCAGTATTCCGACATATATATCAAATACAAATATTTATTTTAATATTCAATTTCTGTGCAATAGTTACGCATATTGTATATGTGTAAGAGATTTTATTATTTTTGACTTTGTGTAAATTTTTTCCGCGGTAAAGTGTTATTTTTTTATAAATATAATGAACAAATTGAATAGTTTTACGTTACGTTATGTTTATAGTTTTTTTCCCAGAGTTTAACATTATTTATTTGTTATTTTAATTTTATTATATTTTTCATTCATGTTGATAATTTTAGGTGCTTTAAAAGAAACGAATGTTGCATATTTTTTTCTAAATTTAGTAGTATTATTTATTATATAATTTCCGCTTTGAATTGAGGGTTTTTACGATATATTGAGGCAGTTGAGTTTATTTCCTCTCTCTTATTCTTATGGCTTTACTATAAATGAGAGTGGGACAAAAATATATGTAATTTCAAGTGATGCAATAATCACTTTCCTAGGTTAGAGTAGAAGCTATATTTCTATCCTTTTCACTCCTTAGCGTTTGAGGGAGATAGAAAACTTTAGTTTGAAACTCTTGTAGAGTAAGCGCCTGTCATAAAGTGTAGCTAAATTAAAAATATTTACTTATTTATTTCAAAATTTCGTCCATTATTGATGCTTGCCGTTAGAACATTAGATTTAGATTTTTTGTATATATCTAATATATGTCTATTTATGCTGAAATGCTTGAAAAATATGCCATAACGTCATAGTATTAAAGTTAAAATTCTAATAAAATGTTCATTTCTCCATGTGAAGAGTTGTAACTTTAAATCTATGTCAATAAGGTGTAGTATTCATTCATTGCTTTATAGTTCGTATACGAAAAAAAAACATGGCGCGCGTCTTAAATTTCGAAACGTTCGATTTTTTTTTTAAATATGCAAAAAGTATTTACACGAAGCTTTTTTTCGCGAATAAAAAGTATTATTTTTTTACCAAAAATTTTTTAATATGATTATAATTATTTTGTGTGTCTTGCACAAAAATTTGACGTTCGATTGTGTAGCTTTATCCTGTGGCCCTTCGCTGCTTATTACAGATTTAGAAATAACGAGGATATTTGATTTTTGTGATTATTACTGATTATTGTTGCAATTTAAAATTGTATGTATTATTTTAAATGTAAATTAAAATACGTACAATTTTCTAGTCAAAATTCATTGCTTGAGTGTCCAATAGGGTAGATGCCTAATTTTTATTTAATGTCTGCCTGGTAGATTATTTTAAATCATTACACACGTATTTTTTATTTTCTTACAGAAATGAATACTTTCGACGATATATTGATTTGAAATGTCGCGTGACGTCACTTCTATGTACATTTTATACGTAGAAATGACGTTTTAGCCCCCACTCCTAAACTTCGATTCGTTTTATCTAAGTATTGTTTTATTATACTACAAAATAAAAAATGCGTGTCTAATATTTTTTCATACCCTGTCGTCATCTCAATTCTAATTTAATAGCAGTTCATGTAGTGTAGGGCTTGTTGAGATACTTAGTTATCTATTAGTTGACGGTAGCGAGGTTCACTGATATCGGGGTGAGCTAATGTTCACATGTAAACAGTGACTAGTGTAGTGTAGAGATTGAACATTCAAGAAAAATCCAAGATGATAACTCTAAAACTATACCAAATTGTGTATTATTCAAATTGAATATAGTTTTTTGTTTATCTAATATACAAATATAACTAATTAATTAACATCTGCTTACATTGTGAGTGTAAAAGGTGAGATGTTAAGTTCATGTCAACCATATTACAATTTTAAGTGGACTCAGTCATAGCTTTTACCACAATTGTTAGAGCCGTTTATGAGAATTTGATTAGGTACACGTACAGACACACAACTTTTTATAGTGTGACATTTTAATAAATGGGTGTTTCTTCAGAAAACTTTAACTTTTATTATTTAACAAATCATTATCTTCCCGCGTTGTTAAGCGTCGCGGTAACTAATTAGTATCTGTATTTTATTGCAGTTGGTGAGAGCAGTGACATGGCTCAATTTTTTGAAACTAAACTTTGTATTTTAATCAGCAGAATTGTTAATTGTGGCTTAAGGATAATGAGGCCGTTAATTTTTTGAGATTCACCCAAGTACTTGAAATGTATTATAGTGTCATGTATTATCGGGATGTTATTCGGTTACACTCATGTTGTATGTTGTTTTTTTTTCTTCCTTGGCAACCAAGTCTCCCAAACGGTGCTGTCGGCTATACTGTCAGTGTCGAGTGATGACGAAAAAATTAATGAACCGTCGAACTTAACTTTGCGGTAGTTTTTAGTTGTTGATTTTATTTAATAAAAGCTCTATTAACAAAAGTGTAAAGTGGACTACAAGGCAGGTAGTATCGACATTGTTAACGACAATATTCAATCGCAAAGTCATGTGAAGTTAATATGAATTTCTATATAGACTTTCAAACTTTTTGTTTTGTAATAAAGTAAAAAACGGTATAGTGACCATGTCATTATGTATACATAAATACAAGTTCTGTAGTTTAGTGATTTGAATATTTTTACTATTTTTATACGATGTTTTCTCGATTGGTTAATTTTGATTTCTAAATTCATAATATTAAAGTTGATTTTGTAAAAGCACAGTGTACAGCGGAGGGCTTTACCGTATATGTACAAAGTACTGAATAAGTTGCGTGTATGTGTGAATGTATGAGTTTGCTTATCTCAATAAATATGACCTTTTTTGTCT